TGATTGTACAGTAGGACAGGCGGTCACAAATATTTTACTTTTCCACTTCAATAACATAATGCTCAGGTGGGTGCTTTTAAAATGGCATCGATTTCATAAAATACGATTTTAACCTGGGTGAATACTGGTTTGGAAACAGGGTTGCAGGTTTATGTAATACATTACCAGGAGAGAGATTTGTGGCTAGGTGGTCACAAATAGGAGCTGCCTCGTATGGGACAATATATTCGTCACACTTCTCCAGTGTCTTATTCGTATCTTTTATAAGTACTTTGCTGCCCATTCTCATGCCAATTATTACAAAAGTTGTATTTAATTTTAAAACTGCATTCGACTTGAGTCTGTCTGTATTTATTTTCGTGTAAACCACGTTGGTCTAGCGGTTTAGGAAGTAATATTTTTCAACTCCATCCTGGGATGGAGTTGTGAAGTTTGTGGAGTTATGTGTGTTATGTGGAGTAATGTGTTATGTGGAGTTATGTGTTATGTGGAGTAATGTGTTATGTGGAGTAATGTGTTATGTGGAGTTATGTGTTATGTGGAGTAATGTGTTATGTGGAGTTATGTGTTATGTGGAGTTATGTGTTATGTGGAGTAATGTGTTATGTGGAGTAATGTGTTATGTGGAGTTATGTGTTATGTGGAGTTATGTGTTATGTGGAGTTATGTGTTATGTGGAGTTATGTGTTATGTGGAATTCTGCCACATAACTAAACATTTGGACAGTTCCCACATTTGGCTTAAACGTTAACAGCTAGTTTAGTCATTACACACAAAAATCACAATAGCGTGATGTATCAAATGAACAAAGGAAGTAAGGATGAAGAGGTAGAACGGCCTATTGACATAGCTCGAGTGCATGGGGGAGTTGTGTAAAATCCTGGTTTTTGTCTCGGAGAGGCTGCAGGATCCAAGTCAATTCAATAGAATTTCTGGTTGCAATTCTTATACCGATGTCGTAGCTCAGTCGATTAAGGCAGCGTCTGGGATGCTCTCAGATGTAGGTTCGAATCCTCGTCACGGCCCTTGTGGATTTGTTTAGTTTAGACATTGACTGTGATTGGCTAAAAACTGCTGCAGACCTGCACAGTTGTAATATATCTCTCCATTACCGCACTTTTGAGTGTTCATTACCAGTAATATTGAACGTCGTTGAACCAGGACACAAAGGTAGAGTCACCCTGCTGTTCACCTGTTCACACCAGTCATAACCCATAACACGCTAGCTATGAAATTGACTTCACTATTCATTAATTTGTTTACTCCTAATTAATCCTAATTACGGAATACAACTCTGGCTTCAGAACTCAGACTCAATTTAAATTTAGGCGTAATTTACACAATTATTTAATGTTTTATTCATATCATATTGGGGTATAGTGAGAGGCTTTAAGTAGATTATGTATAAACAGAAGATTAAAGATAAACACAGATATAATAAACAGGTTATTAATATGAACTTGAACGAGTGTTCGTAAGAGCTAGAATGGAACAGTCATCATTAAGGGATAAGGGGCGGTACTGATAAGGAACGTGGTCCGTCATATTAATCTAAGACATGGCGTTCCTTCACCCTCATTATCAGGAGTGTGAACTGGAGAGTGTGGAGAGAGTCTTTGGATATTCTATCTCTATTTCACTTGTTCAGATAGGATTTGTGGCTTTTTCCATGGATAATTGATGGAGCGTTTGCCCGAAACGCTATGTGTACTAGTGGCTTTAGGTATTGTATGTACTAGTTCTATCTATAAATCCAACATTATGTTTGTAACTAATCCTCTATGTAGGTACTTTTACCTGAATAAACATTTGATTTGATTTTAATTTGAGTGTAATGTGTCCTCTGTCTCTCTCTCTGTCTCTCTCTCTGTCTCTCTCTCTCTCTGTCTCTCTCTCTCTGTCTCTCTCTCTCTGTGTCTCTCTGTCTCTGTGTCTCTCTGTCTCTCTCTCTCTGTCTCTCTCTCTCTGTCTCTCTCTCTCTCTCTCTCTCTCTCTCTCTCTCTCTCTCTCTCTCTCTCTCTCTCTCTCTCTCTCTCTCTCTCTCTCTCTCTCTCTCTCTCTCATATATATATTCATACTATGGGGTCCATGTCGAGTACTTTGTAATTTTGGGTCGTTTAAAGTGACAAAGGGGGCATGGGGGAGGGGGGGGGTTAAGACGGCAAAGGGGCGGGAAATGGTTGCTGGTCATGCCTCATGTTGTGGTAGTTGTAGTAATGGTTGTAGTAAAGGTTGTAGTAATAGCAGTCCATGTTGTAGTGCTTATATTATTAGTTCTGATAGTACAAGTGGTTGTGGTGGCGAGTGGGTAGTATTCACGTGGTTGTGGTGGTTGGTAGGTAGTGTACAAGTAGTTGTGGTGGTTGGTAGGTAGTGTACAAGTAGTTGTGGTGGTTGGTAGGTAGTGTACAAGTAGTTGTGGTTGCTGTTAGTGGTAGCGTGTTTATGCAGGCTACGCACTCTGTGATTTACGCCCTCTCACGGGTATACACACATATCTGCGTATTTTATACGCCAGCCCGCGGTCACCGTAGCACAAATGATACTGTGTACTGGATGGGTTTTTTTATATTTTATTTATGGAAGCGGGGAGAGGGGTAGGGGAGGGTAGGATAGAGCCAACTGTTGTGGAATTACGGTACATGGTATGAGTGCTGGCTTGTGTGTGTGTGTGTGTGTGTGTGTGTGTGTGTGTGTGTGTGTGTGTGTGTGTACTCACCTATTTGTGTTTGGGGGGGGTTGAGCTCTGGCTCTTTGGTCCCGCCTCTCAACTGTCAATCAACTGGTGTATAGATTCCTGAGCCTATTGGGCTCTATCATTATCTACATTTGAAACTGTGTATAGAGTCAGCCTCCAGCACATCACTTCCTAGTGCATTCCATTTATTAACTACTCTGACACTGAAAAAGTTCCTTCTAACGTCTCTGTGGCTCATGTGGGTACTCAGTTTCCACGTGTGTGTGTGTGTGTGTGTGTGTGTGCGTGTGCGTGTGCGTGTGCGTGTGCGTGTGCGTGTGCGTGTGTGTGTGTGTGTGTGTGTGTGTGTGTGTGTGTGTGTGTGTGTGTGTGTGTGTGTGGCAGGGTAGGTGCCGAGAGAGAGTACAAGGCCTTGTTAAGCAACAAGGCTGGTGCATGAGCAATGCCTCACACTTGGTCCAACAAGCGGTGGTACACAGTGAGGAACAGTGAAGTGGAGGTCTGTTATCATGCTCACAGTCACTCTCTATCATGCGCACGTCGGGATCCTCTCTTATGATACGCCTGCAGCTCTCTCATCTGTGATTGGCCGGTCCTCTAGGCCCATGGTCATCTGTGATTGTTGACCAGACCACATACTAGAAGGTGAAGGGACGACGACGTTTCGGTCCGTCCTGGACCATTCTCAAGACCAATCGACTTGAGAATGGTCCAGGACGGACCGAATTGTACTGTTCATAATGTATATGTTCTCCATGCTCTTGTTCAGTTCAAGCATTGTCATCATGATTTTTCACCTACTATGTTCTAATTTTTGAAGGACAGAAGAAAATGTATATATGCTGGTTAGCATTGTAAATATCTGGCCACGTCTGTGGTAGAAAATAATAATAAAAAAACTCTGTGTTTGGAGCACCTTATTGTTTGGTTGTTTGTACCGTGACTTGTTTGTGTCTTGTGGCCAGACGATAACTTCTCAATTGTTTCAATCGATGGTTGGACATCTTTAATTTTCTGATCTCATTTAGGCCTACCGTGGGCGTGTAGTTCAGAGCCTATTACGTCAACAGGTATAGACCTGGTGTAGTTGTTGTTGTTGTTTAAGATTTGCCACCTGGAACAAAAAGTTCCAAGTAGCACGGGCTATGGCGAGCCCGTAGTGGTGGTGGTGGTGTAGTTACTTCAGCTTGGTCTTGCCAAACATTTCCACCCGAGCGTCATAATATAATCAAGGGGGATTTCAATAAAATAGATTTGTTAATTATCGTAAAAAAAATAAAACTTTTTCCATTTAAATGCTGAATTAAATCACCGAAGTTTAGTCAGCTGTGATTGGTGGGGAGGAGCCGAGCGTCAGTGTTGGTGGCGGTGATTGGTGGAGCGGTGAAGAGCGACAACTATGTGCTCCTATATAATGGAACTATTTAATGGAGAATGAGCGGCCAAGCCTGGATTGTCTGGCCTGTCCATTAGCACCGGTGGGCTGATCACTCCTGTTCTCCAGCCCACTCACAGGCTGGGGCTTCACTCACAGGCTGGGGCTTCACTCACAGGCTGGGGCTTCACTCACAGGCTGGGGCTTCACTCACAGGCTGGGGCTTCACTCACAGGCTGGGGCTTCACTCACAGGCTGGGGCTTCACTCACAGGCTGGGGCTTCACTCACAGGCTGGGGCTTCACTCACAGGCTGGGGCTTCACTCACAGGCTGGGGCTTCACTCACAAGGCTGGGGCTTCACTCTCAGGCTGGGGCTTCACTCACAGGCTGGGGCTTCACTCTCAGGCTGGGGCTTCACTCTCAGACTGGGGCTTCACTCACAGGCTGGGGCTTCACTCACAGGCTGGGGCTTCACTCACAAACTTGGTACACCACCCACCACAGTCCTTTGACTCGTAATGGTCCAGAGTCGTTCAGACTGTCCGTGGGTAATGGTCCCCCTTCCTTCAGACCGTCCGTGGGTAATGGTCCCCCTTCCTTCAGACCGTCCGTGGGTAATGGTCCCCCTTCCTTCAGACCGTCCGTGGGTAATGGTCCCCCTTCCTTCAGACCGTCCGTGGGTAATGGTCCCCCTTCCTTCAGACCGTCCGTGGGTAATGGTCCCCTTCCTTCAGACCGTCCGTGGGTAATGGTCCCCCTTCCTTCAGACCGTCCGTGGGTAATGGTCCCCCTTCCTTCAGACCGTCCGTGGGTAATGGTCCCTCTTCCTTCAGACCGTCCGTGGGTAATGTGGCCTTGGCTTACTGCCGTGGGCTGTAATGGCGGGTGTAATTGATGGGTAATTACCTCATAATAGGGAGGAGGTTCATGGGGGCTCGACTCCCTCGTGCAAATTACCAGAATTAATTTCCTGAAGTACGAAGCACGGTACAGACACTACTGTTTTCTCTGTTACGTGTCTGTGTAGCGGTGTGGTCGTATCTCTGTCTGTGTAGCGGTGTGGTCGTATCTCTGTCTGTGTAGCGGTGTGGTCGTATCTCTGTCTGTGTAGCGGTGTGGTCGTATCTCTGTCTGTGTAGCGGTGTGGTCGTATCTCTGTCTGTGTAGCGGTGTGGTCGTATCTCTGTCTGTGTAGCGGTGTGGTCGTATCTCTGTCTGTGTAGCGGTGTGGTCGTATCTCTGTCTGTGTAGCAGTGTGGTCGTATCTCTGTCTGTGTAGCGGTGTGGTCGTATCTCTGTCTGTGTAGCAGTGTGGTCGTATCTCTGTCTGTGTAGCAGTGTGGTCGTATCTCTGTCTGTGTAGCGGTGTGGTCGTATCTCTGTCTGTGTAGCGGTGTGGTCGTATCTCTGTCTGTATAGCGGTGTGGTCGTATCTCTGTCTGTGTAGCGGTGTGGTCGTATTTCTGTCTGTGTAGCAGTGTGGTCGTATCTCTGTCTGTGTAGCGGTGTGGTCGTATCTCTGTCTGTGTAGCAGTGTGGTCGTATCTCTGTCTGTGTAGCGGTGTGGTCGTATCTCTGTCTGTGTAGCAGTGTGGTCGTATGGTCCCTGTATAGCAGTGTGATCGTATCTTTGTCTATCTGTATAGCGGTGTGGTTTTTGCTGGTTCCGTCGTCTCCAGCTGTGTCTTAATCTTTGCATTAGCATGTCTTAATATGACTTTTACATAGGTCTAAGAATATAATACTTTCCCTGTAGACTCGTATCCAGCCTTGTTTTCTTTTTTTACAATAAATAAAGCACTTGTACGCATTGATTTAGATCTATGTATATCTATTTTCTTATATCTATGTATATCTATGTTCATCTATGTTCATTTTGATAGTGAACATCTAAGCTGAAAGCTCCGTCGCGGCGCGCACACATTACCTTGAAGACGCCGTAGAAACACGCATATGCGTTGGCTCTTTGATATATAATGACTTAATCTAGGAACGCACGTACTCGGAGCGACACGCACGCACGCACGCACGCAAGCCACAGCGGAATGCGCGTGTGGGGACTCATCAAGGCCCTGGCACAGTGGTATGTGTAGGGAGGCTAATGTGCCACAGGATTGGAAGCACAGGACAAGAATGTAGAACTCGCTGGTGACTGTTGGAAGCGGTTGTGCTCTGTCTCTCTCTCTGTCTCTCTCTCTCTCTCTCTCTCTCTCTGTCTCTCTCTCTGTCTCTCTCTCTCTCTCTCTCTCTCTCTCTCTCTCTCTCTCTCTCTCTCTCTCTCTCTCTCTCTCTCTCTCTCTCTCTCTCTCTCTCTCTCTCTCTCTCTCTCTCTCTCTCTCTCTCTCTCTCTCTCTCTCTCTCTCTCTCTCTCTCTCTCTCTCTCTCTCTCTCTCTCTCTCTCTTTCTCTCTCTCTCCTCCCGTCAATAAGATGTAGTCGGCCAAATAATTGGGAGCGCACAATAGAGTCAGCATGGCGGGGGCAGCCGCCCCCGCACTCAATTATATGCCCAATATAATTTTTCCAAAGCATAATGCTGGGTGATCTTTTCAAGCCAGAACCCTTAATTCTCTTAATTTTGACCGTGGACGAACTGGCAGAATGCAAGCTTGTAATGACGTACATTGATGTCTGGAAGGTGTTGCCATCGGCAACATGACTCGTGAGATTAGTGTCTTACTCTACTTGGTTAAAAAAATTGACTCTCCAAAGCAACATTGACGCTCCAAGCAACAACAGCCTGTTGGAGCAAGTTATCACAAGTCGAGCCTGGCCCGGGGCGGGGCTTGGGGGAGTAGAAGAACTCGCGAGACCCTCTTCAGGTATACTCCAGGTAACGTAAGGTAATGCTTCACGCAGTAGTAAGCGGAGATTATTTAGGAGGGGGGGGGATTAGAGGCCGGGGCTGCATTCTCGAGCATGGGTCTCACGGAGGTTGTGTTCAGGTTCCCCAACGTTTCCTTACCCAGGGCTCTGAAGGCTGTCTCTGGGGGGATTTGGTCAAGACCTTACAGGTGAGGTGTTACCTATAAAGTCTATTATGGTGTGGGTATTCTGCTACACTGTTGGTATTCCGCTACACTGTTGGTATTCCGCTACACTGTGGGTATTCCGCTACACTGTTGGTATTCCGCTACACTGTGGGTATTCCGCTACACTGTTGGTATTCCGCTACACTGTGGGTATTCCGCTACACTGTTGGTATTCCGCTACACTGTTGGTATTCCGCTACACTGTGGGTATTCCGCTACACTGTGGGTATTCCGCTACACTGTTGGTATTCCGCTACACTGTGGGTATTCCGCTACACTGTTGGTATTCCGCTACACTGTGGGTATTCCGCTACACTGTTGGTATTCCACTACACTCTGGGTGTTCCGCTACACTGTTGGTATTCCGCTACACTGTGGGTATTCCGCTACACTGTTGGTATTCCGCTACACTGTGGGTGTTCCGCTACACTGTTGGTATTCCGCTACTCTGTTGGTAGCACTGCCAACAGTGCAGAGGAGCAGGCGTCACTGTTTACCAGTCCTGCTCTACTTCCTGTTGTCCTTTCTGTTACTTTATCTCTCCGTTCCTCCCCATTCCCTGGCTTCGCTAAATTATTCGTGTTTGTGTCTTGCGTCCTTTCATTAACTGATATGTTACAATATGTGGGTGTGCGCGGGCTTGTGTTTGTTCAGTGTGTTTGTGGTACTTGTGTGTGGCGTGTGTGTGTGTGTGTGTGTGTGTGTGTGTGTGTGTGTGTGTGTGTGTGTGTGTGTGTGTGTGCGTGCGTGTGTGTGTCTGTGTGTATGTGTGTGTGTGGCGGACGAGGAGCGTGTTTCACCTAGTTGTATTACCCTAGTTGTGCTTGCGGGGGTTGAGCTCTGGTTCTTTCGGCCCGCCTCTCACTGTCAATCAATCAACTGATTTTTTTCCACACACACACACACACACACACACACACACACACACACACACACACACACACACACACACACACACACACACACACACACACACACCTGTGGCAAGGCACAAGGGGGCTTCGTAGCCTGGTGGATAGCGCGCAGGACTCGTAATTCTGTGGCGCGGGTTCGATTCCCGCACGAGGCAGAAACAAATGGGCAAAGTTTCTTTCACCCTAAGTGCCCCTGTTACCTAGCAGTAAATAGGTACCTGGGAGTTAGTCAGCTGTCAGGGCTGCTTCCTGGGGTGTGTGTGTGTGGCGTGAAAAAAAAGAAGTAGTTAGTAAACAGTTGATTGACAGTTGAGAGGCGGGCCGAAAGAGCAAAGCTCAACCCCCGCAAAACACAACTAGTAAACACACACACACACACACACACACACACACACACACACACACACACACACACACACACACACACACACACACACACACACACACACCAGGAGGCATCCCGTAACAGCTGTCTTAACTCCCAAATACCTATTTACTGCCAGGTAACAGGGGGCATCAGGGCGAAAGAAACTCTGCCCATTTGTTTCCGCCATCGCGGGGGGATCGAACACCGGACCCTCAGGACTACGAATCCAGAGCGCTGTTCACTCAGCTGTCAGGCCCCCCCCCTCAGTCTGGACTGTGGTGAAGGGGGGGGGGGGAGGGGTGTGGGGGGGAGATACACGACACCCCTGCTGGGCTAGATGTCGTCTCAGCTTTAAGTCATACCTTTCGTGCAACATATGGCACTCCCTCGGCACTTCCCTGACACTGCTTACATCTCGGTGTTGTTGACACTTGCTGCCACTGATGCCAACGTTATACTGCATGTGCCAGTTTTGTCACCAGTGCCACTCTCCCTAGCACCTCTGACATCTCCAGGGCTCCAGTGCCACTTTCCCTAGCACCTCTGACACCTCCAGGGCACCAGTGCCACTTTCCCTAGCACTTCTTGACACCTCCAGGGCACCAGTGCCACTTTCCCTAGCACCTCTGACACCTCTAGTGTACCAGTGTCACTTTCCCTAGCACCTCTGAAACTTCAGGGCACCAGTGCCACTTTTCCCTAGCACCTCTGACACCTCCAGGGCACCAGTGCCACTTTCCTAGCTATGCTGAGAGTCCTAGTAGCGCCCCCCCTTGTATTGTTTACATCCCAACACCTCATACACTGCTGACACGCCTCTCGTGCCTCTACTGACCCTGATTGATTGTAATGACACTTTCGTGGCACTCTGAGAGTACCCGGACACTTGGCACTCCCTCACATGTGGCACTTTTGGTACTTTTTAGCCTCCTCTGGTCTTTATTGGACTGCTTATAGTTTCTGTTATGCTGAGTTTCTTGGTGCGTTCATCAGGCAGCTCTTCTGACAGTGTTTACACTCGTGACAATATTGAGAGCACTCGACCGAGTATGTTAGCACTCAATACTAGCACTCACCAGTGCTAGAAACCTCTCTTCTAGCCACTGTTGAGGCTTTTGTAGCACTGTTGAGGCTCTTCTAGCACTGTTGAGGCTCTTCTAGCACTGCTGACGCTCTTCTAGCACTGTTGAGGCTCTTCTAGCACTGCTGACGCTCTTCTAGCACTGTTGAGGCTCTTCTAGCACTGCTGACGCTCTTCTAGCACTGTTGAGGCTCTTCTAGCACTGCTGACGCTCTTCTAGCACTGTTGAGGCTCTTCTAGCACTGCTGACGCTCTTCTAGCACTGTTGAGGCTCTTCTAGCACTGCTGACGCTCTTCTAGCACTGTTGAGGCTCTTCTAGCACTGTTGAGGCTCTTCTAGCACTGCTGACGCTCTTCTAGCACTGTTGAGGCTCTTCTAGCACTGCTGACGCTCTTCTAGCACTGTTGACGCTCTTCTAGCACTGTTGAGGCTCTTCTAGCACTGCTGACGCTCTTCTAGCACTGTTGAGGCTCTTCTAGCACTGTTGACGCTCTTCTAGCACTGTTGAGGCTCTTCTAGCACTGTTGACGC